TTACATTTTCAGTAAGGTTGTGAGACTCTTTGAATTACCATATCTCACATGTTCTGAACTTTGTTTTAAATAGGAACTGTAAGTTAGATTTTTTTAATATCAATTATACCTTTCCTTCCAGTCGTATCTTGACAATTTTTTTAAAAAAAAAACTTTTCTTTAGTTTTCAAAATGCTTTTCTAATTCAACTTGTAAGGTGAGGTATTAATTTATGGCAAACTACATTTGCAGGATGTTTATCAAGGCAACATTTCCAAGTTTGTACACAAACAAAAGAGGAAACAGCAGTTGGGGAAATCCTGTTCCAGGTTTTCAAGCAGCCCCTGTGATTGACATATGATATCACTGGAGGCGTGTCTTGGAGTGGAGGTGGAGGTGGAGACGAAGAGCTGAAATTCTGCGGAGCTGAAGTACGATCACTGTAAAGCACGCAGTGGTTTGCAGAGTGATAGCAGCAGACAGAGCTCCCAGCCCTGGATAAGGAACAGCTACAAGTCTTTGTAAAAGTGCCTGAAAAGCAATTTCCAATCTTTGCATTAGGTAAGAACCGTTTCCTTCCTTTCCTCCGGTAGATATTTTAGGAAAGATTAAGTGAGAAATGTTTGCATTTGCCAGAAACTGAACATTTCTTTGAATTCGCTGTAGATCTGAGATTATTGGTTGCATTTCAAAACACCAGTAGCATTCCCACAGCTAAAACTAATACTTTCAAAGTAAATGCGACCACTTGGGAATATCGGGGGTGGAGTGGGGAAAATCGCACAGGGTCCCTTTCACTTCCCCTTCCCCTTATCCAAACGGTAACGATTTTAAAGTTTTAAAAGTTTGAATGTGGGGGAAAACTGTGGCTTATACGGAAGAGGGGCTGGCACTCGGTGTGCAGACCAAATGCCTGTTTGTTTTAGGCTTTGTTGGCGACCCAATCTCAAGTGAAGCAATTGTTGAAAACCTGAATTTCCCGTCTCTGGGTATTGATTTCCAATGCGCACAGGCGTTGTTGCTTGAACGTTGTTTGAACTCCTGGGTATTCCAAGTGGCACGAGCTCTTCGGTAAAAACGTGCAAGACTGCATGTTACTTGGGTTCGCTGCTGACACGCCGACTGTGCGCCGGCCTGTCAATCATCAGGAGCAGCAACAGCCAGCACATGGCCGAGGGCTGCGGGAGGCGGGCGAGCTGACGAGCGACCCGCCCCGCTCCGCTCCGCCCGAGCAGTGGTGCGCGCTTCGCGTCCAAGTGTCTGCAAAGAAAAGCAAATTAATGTTTTTTTTCTCCCCCTTCAATCTCTAATCCTCTGTAGCAGGCGTTTCGGTCGTGGGTCGGAGGACTGGGAGCGAGCGCTACCCTGGCGAGGCTGACCTGCCAGAACCAGCAATCCCGGGGACGCTGTGCCCACACTTGTCCAACGTGCGTGCGGGAGCTCCTCGGCCTGCGCGGGGGACAAGGGAGGACGCCCGCCTCTTACTCTGAAGAGGACCCTCAGCCCTCTCCCCCTTCATCACCAGCAACTCCAAAGCAGGTGAAAACTTGAACCCTCTCGGCCTCTGCCTGCAAGAGCGTGCTCTGGAGCCCTGGTGGGACCTGCACAGCTCAGTGACCCGCCCGGCGGACCCTGGTTCGAGTCCTGTCACGGACGTCTTGAAGTCTTGCACTCCTCCTGTGACGCGGATTTTCACTCGTCGGGACCGTGCCACACTTTTCTTAACCCGTGAAGAAATATCAGAGCCCAGAAAATCGTCTGGTCCTCGAACCCACCGAGCCAGGCAGCTGGCCCTTCACGCCTCAGCCGCCCCCCTACTTTGCTGAGAAATTCGGAGAGGGATTTTTGCTTTTTGGCACTTGGAGCGAGTGGCAGGAGGAAAAAAAAAGCCTCAGAGGTGGATGTTACCGAGTCCCCGGGTGAACACACGCCGTGAGAGGTCTCCGCCTGGAGAAGTCTGCACCGGGCCGCACGGCGGAATCGCCCGAGGATTGTCCCTCACAGCCAGAAGGGGGCCGCGGGGAGCGCTTCTGCCGGTGGCGGGCGCGGGGGAGGCAGCAGGCCGACCGGTCACCGCTCGGGCGATGCCTCCTTGTCCTGCCCGCCGCGGTTGATGCGGCGGCCTGTGCTGGGCGCCACCCGTACCTGGGCCAGGCTGCAAGGCTTGGCCCTGCGCCCCTGCTTCGGCCTAGGTGAGTGTCCCGCGGGCGCGCTGCGCCGGGGGCGGAAGGCTCGGGCGGGGCGCTGCAGGTGCGGTGACTCCAGGGAATGGGGGCCCGCTGGGCCGCGGGGGGCCTGGGGACGGCGCCTGCGCTAAGCGAAGGCCCTGGCTGCCCCTTGTCTCCTTAGGGGGCCGCGGCGACCAGGGCGGGATCCCCGGGTGGGCAACGTGCAGGAGTTGCCGAGCACTCTTTGGCTGCCGGTGGCTCCAGGGTGGTGGCGCCGGGGCCTGGGTTACCCTTCTCTAGCAACCCACCACCCGCAAAATGGATTCTAATCGGGTTTCGGGTATTCCAGAGGGCCCTGCCGAACTACTTGGCTTGTGCCCACGGCGGGCTTTCAGTGGAGGAGTCACCCCTTAAGATACGTGAGTGAAAAAAAGTCGGAGGGAGGGTGCGCGTGCGTTTTATGTGCGTGCATGCGCGCCCTCGCTTGCAACCAATGCCCTAGAACAGCTCGTTTGTTCCCAAGTGATCGTGCTTCAATTTTCTTGTTTTGAGAGCAAGAGGGAGAAGGCACTGCCACTTTAAAAATGGGGAAGTCCGCCCTCCTGAGGTAATGGTAACCTCAGCCTCCACCCCTCCTCCTGCAGCAGCGAGAGGGAGAGAGAGAGAAAGGAAACTTGTTTTCATTCATAACTTTTTCCTTTTCCTTCCTCTCCGTCAACTATTTATTCACCGCTTCTCTCAGCTCGGATTGCAGAGGGCGCAGCTCCACCGTCATAACTTGCAAGGTGGCGACACTGCTCTGCTGTCCCTGCTCGCGGTTTACTGCTGCTTCCCTGCTCTTCGTGAATACTAGCTTTTTTCGTTAAAGTCTAGACAGACAGATAGATTCATTTATCTGCATCCATACCATGGGCAGGCTTTTGGCGCCTTACTTTTAACTCTGCAGGCGCTTCATGATTTGTAAAAAAAAGAGAGAAAAAAAAAATAGGAACGTTGATCGGATACGCAAACAGTGTTGGAAATCCACCGTGATCCTTAGGATGTGATGGGATTGTCCGAAAAGGTATTCGGCTTTAATTTGTGTTTTCTTGGGGAACACAGTTTACCGAGAGCGCGTTAAGCACGTTTGGTGTAATAGACCGAGAATTATTACTGTGTAAAAAGGGCTTTTTTTAAGATCTGAGATGGTTGCTTGCTTTTCTTTTTTCTGTTTTTGCTTAGTAGTTTACCAGCCAGAATGAGCATTCTCACAGTTATGTTTTTAAACGCCAAGTCAGAGTTGTGCCTGGGGTTTTTATTACACTATTCAAGCCTTTATCTGCCTATTTTTGTTTTTTCCGTGTGAAATCTGGTTTAGTATTTTTTAGGTTTTGCTTTCAAAGCACTGCATTTTAAAAGTTCTTCTGCAGGAAGGAGTAGGTTGGTGTAGGCGTTAAGTAGTAAGTATTTTTTCAAAGTCCTTGAACTCCAGGACTAAGCCCAGCAAGTTGTAAATGTGTTACTCCTCATGTACAGAGAAGTAGAATAAAGTAGAAATTTGGAGTTCTGCATTGTGAAAAGGAGGGGAACTGCAAGAGGTTAATATATGTCATGGTCAAGGGATGGTTCCTTAAGTCAATACATGAAATAGATTTCCTTCGAGTCTTTTCCTTAGTCTGGTGATTTCTGATTGGAAATGGTAGGTCAGTTATTCTTGAATAGAGTTGAATTATGCGGACTTTGAAAAGAATTTCTGTGAAGAATATTCTAGATTACTCTTGATTGAAAACGGAAGTGTTTTCATCTTTGAAGTTAGTTTCATGAAGAGTCCTTTATAATGACAATTAATTTAGTTGAGAAACATAAATGCTTATTTTTCTTGGGATACTAGTGTGCTCATTTACTTACAAAAAGCACATTGATTCAGAGTTGGCAGTGCCTGTGAAAACTCTAAGGTCTGTCATGTAAATGTGAAGTTTTAAATGGGAGGAAATACAGATAATTAAAAGGTCAGGATTTCCCCTTACTACTTTTAAAAGCCTATCACTTTGTTGTGCATAAAATTGTCTTCTTAATGTTATATGACCAAGGTCTTATTTAGTCTTGTAAAACATTTTTGTGATTTCAAATATGAATGTATATTCACAGGACTGTATATTGCGTTTTGATTGTATTGTATACCCTCATGCAGTCCTTTTTCAAAGATGAACATTGAGCTGGCTTAAAAAACTAGAGTTGGCTTTGATTCCTACTGAAACTAATTTCTTTCTTTAAGATTCTATTTTAATTGGAATCTTTTTACCTTTACTGGTAGGTTTTGGAAAATGCATAAAGTGGTTCTTGATTAAAGATCGTTACACTAACAAATGACAAGAAGCAACAGCACCAAAGCCATTCTTCTTTTAAATTTAATGCTATTTTTTATAGAAACCACTGATGAACTGATTCTGAGCTTTTTTTTTTTTTGCATGAGAATTATTCTGATGCTTGTATTTTGTATTCCCTTTGAAGATGTACTCCATTTCAAGCATTTGTTAAGACTCACAAACAGGAAGACATTGCTTCCTCTTCGTTCTGCTTTTTAAAATTTAGAACACCACCTACTTTTTATGGCATAGGTTCTCTTTTTCTATGATGTGGTCCCCAGCCTCTCTTAAGCTTGGACTCTGGCCAAGACCCCAGCATCATTGTAATCCACTGATGAAGGAAGATCATTACCAGGTGGTTTAGGCAGTTTGTGACTTGACAGGATTTTTTCCCCAAACAAGTACTTACTGACATTTATTTTCTTACTTTTTTCATCTTTGATTTCCTTTTAGGATTTCAGATGCATGCCAGGTTCCTACTGATTGCCAGAATTCAAGATCCCTACACATGGATCCCCAAAATCAACATGGCAGTGGCAGTTCATTAGTTGTGATCCAACAGCCTTCTTTGGACAGCCGTCAGAGATTAGACCATGAGAGAGAGAGTCAGCCTGCTGCTATCTTGTCCTTAGACCAGATCAAGGCCATCAGAGGTAGCAATGAATACACAGAAGGGCCTTCAGTGGTGAAAAGACCTGCTCCTCGAACAGCACCAAGACCAGAAAAGCATGAAAGAACTCATGAAATTATACCAATTAATGTGAATAATAATTATGAGCAAAGACCTACAAGCCACCTGGGACATGTGGGACTCACAAATAATGCCAGGGGCCCCATTTTAAGCAGATCGACCAGCACTGGAAGTGCAGCCAGTTCTGGGAGCAACAGCAGTGCCTCTTCTGAGCAGGGCCTGTTAGGAAGATCACCACCAACCCGACCAGGTCCTGCTCACAGAGCTGAAAGGGCAATCCGGACCCAGCCTAAGCAACTGATTGTGGATGACTTGAAGGGCTCCTTGAAAGAGGACGTGACACAGCACAAGTTCATTTGTGAACAGTGTGGGAAATGCAAGTGTGGAGAATGCACAGCTCCCAGGACCCTGCCCTCCTGTTTGGCTTGCAACCGACAGTGCCTTTGCTCTGCTGAGAGCATGGTGGAATACGGAACCTGCATGTGCTTAGTCAAAGGCATCTTCTACCACTGCTCCAATGACGATGAAGGGGATTCTTATTCGGATAATCCTTGCTCCTGTTCACAGTCACACTGCTGCTCTAGGTACCTGTGTATGGCAACCATGTCTCTATTTTTGCCTTGCTTACTCTGTTATCCTCCTGCTAAAGGGTGCCTGAAGCTGTGCAGGGGATGTTATGACTGGATCCACCGTCCAGGGTGCAGATGTAAGAACTCCAACACTGTCTATTGTAAGCTGGAGAGCTGCCCTTCCCGGGGTCAGGGTAAACCATCATGATTCTTGGAGGTGGGTTGAACCTCCTGAACTTGCTTTCAAATTGTGGCTGTTAAAAATTGATCCTATCAGAAACTGGTTTTATTTTCTTTAGGATTTGCCCTGTTTCTTATCTTCTCCTCCACGTTTCCAACGTTTGACTCATGGATTTTCCTCTTCTCTCCTGGATGATCTTCAGTAAAGTGGACTGTGAAACTTACTTTGGTCCCAGTTACTACAGGGGTCTCTGCCGTCTGATTGAGAGGGTGTTGAGAGCCAGTAGGCTTTTGTGTAGCCTTTTTATTCTGCCTGCAACTTTCCAAAGTTGTACAGGTGAACACACACACTACAATGATTTAAAATTGTTTTTGGTTGGATACTGTGGGAGCTGGGAAATTGGTTTTTAAGGAAGCAACCATTTAATTGCTTAAATAAGCTATGTATTGAATCTATCTCCAGTTAGAGTTATCTTCTTAGCATTGGATTGTTAAGTAGCATGGGGGATATATTTGTTGCTATAACTTAAAGATTTTCTTTAACCACTGCCCTCCTTGCTTCTCAGTGTTGTTCCCTTCAGTTTCTGGCATTGTCTTTTATCAAGTGATGCCAGGTTGGGTTTCCCCCCTTTAAATCTTCACATTGGAGATAGATATATTGGTTGCATCTTGCTAATTCCTACTCTACCTTCCATATCTGTGAAGGTTTCAACTCTCTTCCAAACTCTCCACTGAATGTCTGTTGTCATTGAGGGCACTTGGATAACTAAAATTGGTATTTATAGCTGATGAATCTATAAATGTCACAGAACTTTGCTGCCTAAAGTGATCTTGGCTCCTTGATGGTCTTTTTGACCCCTTAACTAATTAGCAGCTGAGTAATTCTAATCTTCCCTGTTTTCATTGCCTTAACCACAAATTGTGGTGCTTTTTGTATATTTTATGTATAAATCACAAAGTTGAATTCTGACTTATTTTTAAGACAAAAGTCTGTTAAACTTTTTTATTGTAAAGAATATTTATTACGCGAATCTCTATTATTTTATGATATTTATTGCAAAAGACTGTTGAAATGTACTCACGTCTGAATATAACAAAATATCAATACTTAACGGAAAATAAGGTGACACGAAGAAAGTACGTATGTTAACTATAATGCAGAAAATATATTAATTAATGAAACTTGTCTCTTGATTTCTTCATTTATTAGCCTGTACTATTATTATAATTTTTGCTGTTTTTTCTTTCATACTTTAGTTGTTTTCCTTAAGAGATTGAATCTAGACACAGGTGAGATCAAATTATGAGCTAGGTGTTTCCGGAAAAGTACATTATATAAGATTTTGTAATCCAAATCCTACTTCAGATAATCTTCTAAACAAATGCCCGAGTAAATTACTATATAAAGGAAAATTTTGGGGGGTGATTAATATTAACAAGTACTCCCTGTTTTGACGGGTTTGTAAACAGAAGGTTTTGTATATGGTGGCATATTCGTAAGTTTTAAAAAATGGTTATCTTGACTCTCTTGGGCTAATCTGAAATTAGTTTCCATAAGCAAGACTTAAAAGAACTAATTCTGTAGACATACTGGAAGTCTCTGGTACTGTTACATTAATAAAACATTTTAGAAGTTAGTGTGTGCCAAGGGAATCATTCACATTATCAGATAAATGTTTTCAAAACATTCCTGTCTCTACCTTTTCATTTCCTTTAATAAGTTTTTAATGTGGCCTGATCAAATTACACTTCTTCAGGTCCTTTGGAATAAGAAATCTGAGGGCCTGGACCTTTATTTAGGAAAAGTAAGTATTTAAAAATCTCATTTTTTTTAGCCTGCTGAAACCACTACACAGCTATGATCTTTGAACCTGATAAAATGTTTATGGGAGTTCTTAGAATACAGAATCTTTTTAAAAATTCTGTCCTTGTGGACTACAATGTTTCGTTAACTACCCCTGACTTGGTGATAAATAAGTCAAAACTGAAGAATTAGCAACATTTGAGAATAAAATATTGATGTAATTGACAAGATTGGGATTATGAAAATGATTTTTGTCATTACACTTGGATGGTTTGGCTCCTTGGCTGATGGAATGTGTAAACAGACTTTGTGTTCTATGTCAGACAAGGTTAAGTGGTAGAAACGGAAATTTTTTTTTTCAGTGAGCAAGGTATTAAACCTATTTATTGAAATTGTGACATTTGAAACAAACATTTGAAAGCAAGAGGCTTTTTAAAATGGAATTTATGTCTTGGAGGCTACTTCATAGTCCATAGAATTTCACACTTTGTATTTGAGTTTTTTCATCCACGACTCGAGTTTATGTCATGTTACCATTGATCTTTCAATAATTAGAGTGTTTGGTGGAAAATTGGTTCTTTTAATGAATTATATAAACACAGACTCCCTCAAAATTTTGTGTGGTTTTTCCCTGTTACTATTTAGATCATTGGTATAATGAGAAAGTGGTGTAGGAGCTGTAGTTGTAATAACCAGACTAAGAAGCTGTAGCTTAATTGAAAGAAATTTGTAACTTTTATGACTATGAGGTATGCTGAAGAGTTTCAAATCTGGTCATATGCCGAATACATTAAAACAACGATACTAAGATGGTAGTCTGCAGCTCCTTGACTTTATATGTACTCTGGCATAATGTCAGCTTCATATTTAAAAACAGCAGTAGGTTACAGGTTCATGTTTTTAAAAAGCTTGTCAGGTAGCAAAACATAAATACTTTGATTCAGAATTTCCTACTCTCTGATGGTTTAAACTTAAGAGGAACTAATGGCACAGTGTGTCCTCAAAAGGGCTTAGGAGTCCTAGGCTTTTGAACCTAATACTGATCAACATTTTAAAGTACTAAGAGAATTCGAAGAATCCGTGAAGTGCAATTTCTTGCAATAAATGCTATTGCCATTCCTTTGATCTCAGGTGGTGTAGTCCGTCTGCAATGGAAAGTCACCATGAGAGAGTGTGAGGTCCATAGCAGTGGGTTGGTTTAAAATAATGGAGCCCTAGTGGTTCAGGGGTTAAGCTCCTAGCTGCAAACTGAAGTATCTGTGTTTTGAACCTATCATTTGTGCAAAAGATGTGTCAGCTTCCATAAAGATTATAACTTTGGAAACTATGAGGCACTTCTACTCAAGCCTATAGAATTGAATGAGTGGTAATTAAGGAAATTGGTTTGAATTTGTTTCAAATGAGACCCAACATTAGACAGATGGGCTAACCTTTCCTATTTAGTCTGTATTTTTGTTCCTCTTCCTCAGTACAATTTGACAGAATGGATGTTTTTGTTCCTTTCCAACATATTTCCGGACTTTTTTTTTCTTTAAAAGAAGTTTTCTTTTTTAGTAAATTTGATGATGAACAAGACCAATATAGGATTTTTATAGTTGAGTAGTTTCTTGTCAAGATACCTCATAAAATGTATTCTACAGAAAAGAAATCTGAAAAGTAAACATGTTTGTATGAAGGCCCAGCTGAACCCTTAAGTGTAGTGAGATACAATTTTTAGATGGTTGCTAATAATATAAAGGATATGAGTTTATAATTTTTTTACCTTAAAATTGATACTTGAAACAAACTCAGTTATTTCCAAAGGATTGATTTTTTTAAAAGTGTTTATCTCCTTTATCCCAACACTTTTTAAAAGAATAGATTGATGTATTTCATGAGTTTTTTAAATAGCTTTTTACCAAGAAACACGTTGTTTGAAACACTGCAGTGTTAAAAGTAACAGAAAAAAGTCCATTTAAAACTTAGACTCAACTATCATCTCTAATCTATTTTTTCCAGATGATAGAGAGTTTTAAAATATTAAGATGAAACTTTAAACCATTTTTCTCACTCTTTGCCAGTTGGAGAGTTGTTTTTTCATATTCCATTAATTAGATGCTACCAGAATATTCATGAAATCAAGTGACACAGAGTCCTCAAATCTCAAATTACTTGCAAACCATTTTGTTATATGTGCTGAGCATCTCCTAGGTTCATTATTCTATTCTACATAGAGTAGAATTTTCGAGTTAGAACCTTCTTTAATATTTCTTACTCTCTGTAACAGAAGTTACATAGGTAACTAATTAAAAATTTAAATCCATGTCATAGCTCAAACCTATTAAAAGAATCTCCAGGCGAAGGTCTGCGTGCTCCACAGTTGTAAAACGTTTCTTGAGTGATTTTATCAGGAAAGTTTAGAACTTATTTATTAAGCTCAATGTCTTCATTTTGAAGATGTAGAAACAAAGGCCTGGCTTGAGAAGACAAGTATGATGGATAGGGTAGAACCAGAACTTTTCACTGGAGTCAGGACTCTTCTGCATTTCTTAGCAGCCTGTCCAGTGCCTTTCTGATGCCATATTGTTGAGCTTTGCTATTACACTTCCCTCACCAAATTATTACATCATACATAATCTATTTGACAATAATTTAGAAGCTAGAATGTTTTTACCGTGTAGTATTGACACTTACTACCAATAATGGGGACCGCTGGTGGCCCAGTCCCTAGGGACTGGTGCTGCTAACTCAAAGGCTGCAACTCCCCGGCAGGTTCAAATTCACCGGCAACTGCAAAGGAGAAAGTTAAATAATCTCTTCCCTGTAATTTACAGCCTGGGAAATGCAGTGGAGCCTCAGGTATGGGTTCAGTTCTGACTTGATGGGAATGAGTTGAGTTTTTGATGAATAAGTAGTAAGTAACTTCATCACCATGGTTATTTTCTATATTTTAATATAAAAGTTAATTTTATTTCAAAACTGATCAGGGTTTCTTCAAACTAGGCTTGTATAGTAAAAGTAGTACAACTGTATTTAATCAGTTTGTGAATGGTAATAGACACGACTTTAGATTTAAGAATTTGTAATGGTAGGTAGTGCTTACCATTTTAATGACTACATTAGAATTACAGTGATTAAAATGGCTGGTTAAGTGATCTACTTTGTATTATTAAAAATACCACTGTTACTTTTCAGATTGAATCATATGGATTATGGTAATAACTTTAGTTGGCAAAAACCATTAAAGGGTCCAGAACTGTTTTCTACTATGTATTTGAGAAAGTATACTGGGAGCTTTAATAATTAACCGGTAGTCAAAGAACTTGTTTTGGTAAGATAATCACACAATCGTAAGTTTAGTGCTAGAAAAAGCTTTGTTATGTGCAATAAAGTCTACTACATCTTATAGTGCCCTGTGAGCAAAATACCAGAGTGTTGCTCTATTCTGTGCCATCATCAAAATCTCTGATACGGTTCATTCCGTTTTTTCCGTTTTTCTTGCCATTCCGTTTTTTTGGGGTTTTTCTTTTTTTTTGCCCTTCCCCTTTTCCCGGCTTGTTTTCTTTTTCCAGGGCCTTGTTCTTGCCGGCTTGCCCAAGTTCCTTAAATTGAATTTTCCCCTTTTTTGCTTTTAGGGGGCCTTTGCCGGCCTTTCTTTTAGGTTTTTTTTTTTTGGCAGTGCCTGGGATATTCAGTACTTTTCTCCAACATACAAACTAAAAACGCGTCAATTCTTCTGTTATCCTTATTCATTGCCAACTTTAGATGCATACAAAGCAATTGAAAATACCATTGCTTAGATCATATATATACCCCTTAGTTTTTAACATCTGTTTTTTAGCACTTTGGAGTGGTCCTTGATTTTCCCGGTGCAACATGGATGGGTGGGTTGGTTTTTTATTTCTGAGTGCTGCCATAATGAGTGTTGATTGTGTATCCAAATAAAATCCTTCACTTCATTCTCTTCTCCATCTATCATGATGTCTGTTGGCCTAATGGTGAGGATTTTTGTTTTCTTGATGCTGGGGTGTAAGCCATATGAAGGCTGGGGTCTTTGATTTTCTACAAGAGCTTTACGTTTTCTTCACTTTCTGCAAAAAAACTGTGTCATCTGCACAATGCAGGACATTGATGAGTCTTCCTCTTGATGCCACAGTCTTCTTCAGACCAGCTTTTGAATACTCAGCATACAAATTGAATGGGTTTGGTTAAAGGATACAACCCTGACATACGCCTTTCCTGATTTTAAACTGAAGAACTTTAGAGATAGATGAGCTAGTCTTTTCATTAGAGAGCAAAGTCAGATTTGAAGAGGTTATTTCCCTGAAGTCAAGATCCACTACTTTACTCATTGCCTTTTGGGTTAACAGCCAACTCCCTATGTCAACACAGCGCTATC